CTTACGGCCAGAAGGCAGCAATGACTTGAAACGACTGTTAGGGAAAATAGAACAAGAAAGTGCCAAAGCAGGATTGCAGCTGAATGTTAAGAAGACAAAAATCATGACTATAGAAGAACAACACAACTTTAACACTGACAATGAAGCAATTGAAATAGTTAGAGGTTTTGTATAGTTTGGCTCAATCATCAATTCAAATGGTGACTGAAGCCAAGAAATCAGAGGACGAATGGGACTAGGAGGCCAGCAATGAAGGAACCAGAAAAGTGTCAAGATGTGTCACTGGAGACCAAGATCACGATGATTGTCTACCCCCTTGCATTTTTCACACATGTATGGGTGTGAAAGCTGGACAGTTAAGAAAGCTGACAGGGAAAAACTGATTCATTTTTAAATGTGCTGTTGAAGGAGAGCTTTGTGGATACTCTGGATTGCCAGAAAGACAAACAAGTAGGTCCCAGATCAAATCAAGTCTGAACTATCTCTGGAGGCGAAAGTGTTGGAACCGAGGCTGTCCTCCTACTTTTGGCACATCATGAGAAGGCAGGATTCCCTGGTAAAACAACAATGCTGGGAAAGGTGGAAGGCAGCAGAAAAAGACCAAATATGAGCCGGACTGTCCCCCTGAAAGAGACCAGAGGCTTGAGTTTGAAAGAGCTGAGCAGGGTAGAAGAGGGCAGGACATTTTGGAGGGCACTCATTCATAGGGTTGCCATGAGTTGCAGGTAACATCAACAAGATCATAAAAACTTTTTAGCAAGTTTTGGTTTATAAATATAACACTTGGTGCTATAATAAAAAAAGCTGTCAAACTGAAATGACAAATCTTGACGTTATAGATAAGATTCTCACGTACTCAAAGGCAGCATTTTTTTAAACAATTGTCAAAGTTCTTTTGTGTAGTGCAGTAAATCGCACTAGAATCGGCCTATGAAATTAATGGGGATTTAGTGTGTCAAATCCTCCATCAGTTCCACTGATATGAATGGGTCTAGTCTAATTCCAACTTATTATGGTAAAGTAAATCACAGTTAGAGTAGGCTCATCTGAATCTATGGAACTGATGGAGGAATTGAGTCACTAAATCCACCTTGATTCTATTCTAGCACAATTTATTGTCACTAAATCTACCTTGATTCTATTCTAGCACAATTTATTATTGTGCTCGATTTTGGTCAGTATTTTTCACCTGCAAATAGCACTCGTGGATCGAAAACCACTAAGCAAAACTTGCCAGGGTACAATCTTTTGTGCAGATTCAAGTTTTCCTAGTGCAAAACAGTTTTGTTTAGTTGGATGGGATAAGGCAGATCCAGAGAAAGCTCAGTTCAGTACCCATTCATACTGTTCAGTTCACTGCTCGCAATATAACCATGTACAATTTTATTTTTTGAAAAGCTCCCCCCCCAAAAACATCCACTCAGTCCCAAAGAAACAAGGCACTCCTCTGCCCATACACCGCCTTCCAAGACCAGGTTCTTTAGTAGAGAAAACCAAATTATAATACAACCATTTATACTCCAAACTAACAAGACCTATTAGATGAAACAACAACTTAAGTGAGGCAAAAGATAATCCCTACAATTGTTGTGGCTACTTATATATTTCTTGAACCAACAAACATTTACTCATTTCTGCTTTAAGTGCCATTCTCAGTACCATTCTAGAAAAAGAGGAAAAGGGTGCACAGTTTGTGGAAACAATACAAATACAGGAATAGGGGATACCTTTAATCGACCACTAAGAATATAAAACAAAGCAGAACAGAAAACAAAAAACAAGCAACACGCGTTTGATGATAAAACATCTTCTTCCAGGCTGTGCATCAAGTTCTTATGGGTAGTTCCAACTGATATGCTCTTTGTTTCGTATTTGATAGAGTGGAATTATTATTCAGTCCACAAACAGGTAACAAATATGCATAGGATCACCGTCCTTTCTGCATTCTCAGTGATCATGAGAGTATATAGAGTGGTAGCTTTAAAAGGTACACTAGCACCAGAACATGGACTTTTTTTGAACCACAACTTCCAGAATCCCCGATACCACCACA